AATTGAATTTTGTGATTTCCAGGATATGGAGAACAAGATGCGAAACACTTTGAATGAAATTTACTTTGGTAAAACTAAAGACATCGTCAATTCACTCAGGTCAGAAGTCACATACTTTAAAACTTCATAAAACAACTGAGTGCAAAAAACATTTACTATGCGAATCAAAAAACCGTTACCGCCTAGAAATATTTTGGGAATGTTAATTGTTCATTGACCAATTGGAAGTGAGATTAACTGTCATCAACTGCATTTTCACTTGCAAATTTAATAAAAACTTCAATGTTACAAATAAACAAAACTAGTTTATCACCAAAAACGGCCTGTAAAACTCACAAATAGGTACAGTTTCATTGTTTAGAATAAACGCAAAGTTTGTCCATTTGTGCTTTTCATCATGTTTTCTTATTTGTCAGCCAAAATCACTTTTCAAGTACACATTCCCAAAATATTTCCAGGCGGCCATGGTTTTTCAATACTCACTGTAAAAGAATGCAAACCAGTGTTGAATGCAGGCTCAAACCTTGTCCTTTTCCTTTTTCCAGGAGTGTAAATAGCCTGCAAGACCAAGCAAACCAGAAAGCCATGCAAGCTGAACTTTTCCAGACACTTAAAAACCGTCAAATGTGAAAAAAATGATATCTTTTACATTAGGCAAAAATCTTCACTGAAAATATTTGAACCATTTGCCTACTGATTATAAACGCATTAGTTATAGCCAATTAGTATTTTGTATTCATAACATTTTGAAACAGAGTTTAGGCAGATGTTCAAATGTTTTTGGAAAGGTAGATAGAAGAAAACTATAGAATTTCTTTCGTTTTTCTAATACAATTTATTTTGAATAAATAAATTAAGTGATTCTAAAAAGTGTGATCACAGGTTTAGTCGTAGGTGTTGTAGTTGCTGTTAAGTTAGCAGCAGTTAAAATACTGTTGGGAATCAGCTGTAGAGATGTGTCTTTAGTGTACAGTAAAATCGTTTCAGTGACAAAACCACTGCCATCAACAGCAATATCGGGAACAAAGTCATCTACAATATTGTTGAATAGCATCTTCAGCAATATTATCATCAATGACATACCAGTACAGCTAGCATTACCTGCAACTTCCTGAAACAACCACCTTCAGTAGAGTTTCCAAAATGAAGTGTCAAATGTGATCACATTTTTCTACACGTAGATGTTAAAATATTTTGATTATCTCTTGTGTTTCGTTCAAAAGACAACATTTTTAAACACAACAAAACTATCATAAACATTAATTAGATTTCTGTATAAAATAAAACAAACTCCATCATCAAAATAACCCTAGTCTGCTAAGCTTATTGGCTCTGCCATCCATAATATAATCTGATTTTGAATAACTTGTGAGCAAATTTAATGGAAACTGGGACCCATTCTTCCCCAACTTCATAGGCAAAGGAATCCCATATCAGAACASCAGACTCTTCATATTTCTTTCTGATTATACTTAGTTCTGGCTCCATTTTTCATAATGTACTTGAGGACTGGGAAATTGGGTCAAACTAACTATAAACTTATTGAATAAAATATTGCCGATAACCTACTTTGCAGTTTCCTAGATCATTTTTAGCAGTGATCCAAAACACAAACTCTTTGATTTGTCACCAGAGTTGATAAGCAATAATGGTAGAATGTAATTATGACTTCAAGCAATAAAATAGTATTTGTAAATTGGTTATAATTCTTTATTAGTGTACATTATGCAGTGTTATTATACTACATCTTAACTTTTTACTCTCAAAATGACTTCCATGTATAGGATGTCAAAACATCAGATAATTTAGGTACTTTCTCAAGAATTCTTTTAYGCAGACAATCAGTCGACACCTCCACTATTGTGTAAGCTTTTTTTTATTTTGTTTCACGGTGTATTACATTTTTTTTTTGTTACACTTGGGTTCTGAAAGTTTATGAAAATAACTCTTGTTTAGTTTTTATCCAAATGACACCAGGCCTTGTGACTGCGCTGTGCTGACTAGTACAAAGTATTAAAATAGCCCTTCTTCTTTAATTAGCACATTTTGAAAAAATGCTGTGCTCAAAGAAGATGCTGTTTTGGAGTCATTAGTCCTTAATGGTTATTGTAAAAGTTGAAGAGAAAATGTCTTGTTTCACTGATAATTTGTCTGTGTTTCTTCTATCCAGCTTGGGATCTTGTTAGCTTTCACTGGTAAGCACAACATATAGTAAAGGAAAGCTATTGTCATCTTTGGTAAAGTGCCTTGTTGACTTCACTGATGGAGATGTCAGCCAGAGGTGGTATTGAGTCTCCTACTTCTGACTGCTCTTTAGTAAGATATCTGGCATGCTCATCTGGAAAGGAAAACTGTGTTAAATCAGGAGAAACTTTCTTATTCTTTACCTTTATTAAAAACATAACAGAAAGAAACACTGCAAGAACAATAAGTGGGCGAGGGGGTACTCGAATTTTCTCTGGAACAGGGTCAGGGTTTAATTCCGGAAATTATTGATGCTAGGTAAAAATTTATGGGGTAAAAATTCGGTCTTACACAAGCTAGTGCTGGATTTTCTCTGGAACAGGGTATCCTATTCAGCAATTTTATTCTGGAACAGGGTATAGTTTTCAGCGATTTCACTCTGGAACAGGGTCAGGGTTTTGAGTTCCCAGTGTAGAGTTTCTTTTGAGAGGAACAGGAAGCCCAACAAAAAGAACAGCTGTGAAGCAGATACTTGCAATATTTTTATAGACTAACTAGCTTACCTGTGATTGTGTAAATAGAGTCAAGTGATGGCGTACAGAGAAGATTATAAGATAMATACAGAAAAACTATTGTAACCAATAAAACCAGCAAATAAATTGGCCCAGCAAATAACCAGTATCTGAAACAAAGATTTTAAAGCAGTTTTCTAATATAAGCTATAGATTTTGCTGATTATATAAAGCTTATATTAACTCTCATATACCTTTGAGGAAGATATGTTATGCCGATATCCCTCAGCCATTCTTCTGGTACRAAAGCCCAGGCAAGATACAACACTAACCAGAGAATGAATGATATAGTGAATGRTTGAAGATTGCAAATTAAGAGAACACGTTTTTCCCTTACCAAAGCTAAAATTAGCTCCTAAATACAGCACAAAACCATATATAGCTCGYTCAGGGATAGGATTAGGCGAATGYTCGCCCATCAAAACCAAGAYACAAGCAACTGACTTTGACTGAGATGCCGATACAGTGGATCTCCAGCAGGCGTTACTCGCTAACAAAGGAACCCCACTTTCCTAGCTGTTAACAAGGAGAGTTTTGTTGATATATCCTGTAAAAATGCAAAATATAAATTCTTAAATATCTTTTATCTAATAGGAATGCAAAACGATGAGGAGAAATGGGTTGTTTTCGATATAAAAGTTTTAGATTATGTTTGGGGTGCCTGTGTATTGAGTAAGAGGATTACTGGTAACTAYTATTCAAAATGGCGGAAGACGGTACACCCGAAAGTCCAACTGTTGGTGAAAACGATGGTAAATTTACTTTATTTTAGCTTATTAGCGATTGCAGATTTATTTATTATAAGCTCATTTATTTTCTGTAGATTCCGCTGAGTCAAAAGTTATTCAACTCAATCCAGACTCTGAGGTAAGATTATTTTGACAAGTAAACGTACGATGTTGACATTTTAGTGACGTAAGGATTTTTTATTTTGTTTTTGTCGTATTAATATTACTAAATGTTTTGCATAGTTTATGACCTGGAAAAAGCTACATTTTCTAGTGTCACTCCCATTTTTTTAATTAATATTTATTTGACAACATGTTACTATATTAAGTAAGTTATTAGATAGACTATTTGTTGTTTAGACTGACTGCTGATTTATTGATTTTTAAGTATGTAGATTTAACCCACATCAAGCTAGAGAAGATTGAAAACTTTGAAAGACTAACATGTGTCAAGGTATGAAAATGAACATTTATATCTGACACCAGAGCAAATTTTGTTTGACAACAAAGACAAGRTACTCCATGATTACAGATCCTTGCTGGTAATAATGCCAGGGAAAAACATGCAATTATAAAAGATMTTTGCTATATTAAAACATAGTTGTGGTTTAAAATAAGGAAATGCTGCAGTGTTTGTACATTTACTTTAAGTAAMATTTGCTATATAATGTCTCTATAAATTTACAATATGTTTACATTGACTAGAGGGGACAAAATGTGACTCATAGGGGTCCCCCTTCTTCTCCATTCTCCCTGCTTTGTATACTGAGATCCTAATAATATACAAAATCATGTAGTAGATTAGAATGATTATATTTGTCATGACCTTGAAAAAAATCGATATTTACATTTCTTTCTTTTTCAGTCACTCTGCCTTAGAAGAAACAAAATCACCAAGATTGAAAATCTATCAACTTTGACGACTCTAGAAGAACTGGATTTATATGATAACCAGATTTCTAAGTTAGAAAATATTGAACAACTGACTGAACTCAAGTAAGTAAAACTTAACATAACAACCTTCACATAAATAAATAAATAAATAAATAGATACTAGTATATATTAATGTTTTTTTTTCTTGATTTTTTCCCCATAGAATTTTGGACCTTTCTTTCAATCTTATTAAAGTCATTGAAAACCTGGAGACCTTAACAAAAGTTGAAAAACTCTTCTTGGTTCAGAATAAAATTGGTAAAATTGAAAATCTTGATGCTTTGGTTGATCTCAATATGCTTGAGCTTGGAGCCAACAAGATACGGGTTAGAATTATTCCTAAGATAAAGTAAAAACAAAACTGTAAAATCAAAAACAAAACTGTTTTTCAAAGCATATATTGCAGAGTTTTTAATGTTGTGTCATTTTTTTTTAATTCAAGGTTCTTGAAGGRCTTGAAAAACTTACAAAACTAGAAAGCTTGTTTGTTGGTAAAAACAAAATCACAAGTCTTCAGGTGAGMAAAACATCCAGCATTTTAATCAATTTTTATTTTTCACTGATATCAGTGATATTATCTAAAAGGTATTCGTTAATATTTCCTCTTTTTTTGTAGAATTTAGATCCCCTTGTGAACTTRAAGATACTGAGCATTCAGGTAAACTTGAGTTTCTAACTTATGACTTAATATTTTTAGATAAAACTGATTGGTTTAATGTCATGTTTTAACTTCAGAGTAACCGTATTGTTGAGCTAAAAGGACTTGATGGACTTGTCAATCTGGAGGARTTGTATATAAGTCATAATGGAATTGAAGAGATTCAAGGACTTGATAAACTAGTAAGCTACAATAGTTCCCTAACCTGTGAACAGTCATTCCCTACCCCTCCCTCCCWAAAAATAATCTCAATTATATTTCCCACAGGGAGAGGGCTGGGGATAACAGTGCACAGGCTTTACTTTTGTTTATTAGTAAATGCCCATGCATTTTGAGGATACAGTTGCAGATGTGATGATTTATTTGTCAACTTTAGGTTAAACTTACGACGTTGGACCTGGCATCAAACAGAATTTCCAGGATAAAAAATGTCTCTCATCTTGTTAATCTTGAAGAGTTTTGGGTAAGCTTTTCATCTCATTTATTCATTCATCCATTCATTTATTCATTTTTTTCTTGTTTCTGTCACAGTTCAATGACAACAGACTTGCGCACTGGGAAGATCTTGATGAACTGAAAAATTGTAAGCTTACTACGATATACCTGGAAAGAAATCCAATATACCACGACGCGGGGACTGCATACAGACGAAAAGTCAAGCTCGCACTTCCTGGACTTCGACAAATTGATGCCACTCTATGTGGATAAAAAACAAAACAAAACTGGATGTTACTTATCGATTGTTATTTAACTAGAGCGGATTTCGTATGAGTGGGAAACGGACGGTACTGTACTGTGACCGTAATTGTACTGTAACCAAATTCTAGTGTCACATTGGTTCACCAAAATTGTGAAGGCCAGGTCTGGTAACTGTGCTGTAACCGTGCGGTAACGGTGTCCCACTCATGCGAAATCCGCCCTAGGAACATTGGCAAACCAGATACTTTTACGTTTTAGCAATAGTAGGAAATTCACTTTAATATTACTATTAAGATTCTGTGTAGCTACGAATAGATTCGTACGTAACGCACATCTTTACTTTGTGCGGCTGTTAATAGACTAGGTGGAAGGTTACAGTATTAGAGCCGTTTTTATACGCAATTATACGGTTACGTTCCTAGCGTTTCCGCGCGTTTATTTCAGCTAGGTAAACAGCACGTAACAATGTAACGATACGTAAAACGATAAATATTATTGATTATTAATCAATGTGATCAGTTTCCTACTCATGCGAAACCGCTGTAACTTCACCGCCTGTGGAACAATTTAGACGAAGAATCAAAAGTAGTCATTTTCCCAATTSCGCATGCGTCTCCGCAAACATTGCCTGCGCTCGCAAATAAAAACGGAGTGATGCACGTTGCTGATCTCCATCAGTGGAGAATGTCCATTTCAACTATAGTTAAGTTCGACGTTTGTCCATATGACTATATTGGTGTTTTATATGATAGCTATGGCTTTTTGTATATAATCTTAATTGTAAGTGTTTAGTTGCAAGCACTTTGTAATAAAATTGATCAAATTCCTCGGTATGTGCTTCATTTCGGTAGCTRAAGACGACGTCTGAGATGGACACACTGTCTGACATGGTGACACTTTGACACACTGACCATGCAGATAAGTTACATGACTTTATCCAGAACTTATCGGGTGGAAATAGTCATTTTAACGGCCTTTTCCAGTTAGAGAATAATCCATCCCGCCGATAGTTCCCATWTACTCATACACGTGCTTTCATTAATGTAACCTATTAAACGGTATTAACTTGCCAGTTCCAAATAATGACACCAGTAAAACGCTAAGCCCAAGTCTTTGTAGTTGCCCTTAGCAACAGGTACTTAAGTCCAGTCACGATTTCTAAATTATTCAAAATTCATGAAAACAGTTAAAAATGATAAACGTCTTATTTGATAAGTGATGTCATACGTTATGACAAGGTCGGACCTTTATTAAAAATTAATGTTCCATAAATCCTGATATAGTCTGTTGACTCTTACCTGCAGTCTTGGTTTCATTTGTAAGAAAAGTAAGTCGAGCTGGAAGGTCGTCGTCTAAAGGTAGAACTTTCTCTCATTATTTTACTTTAATGCTTTCATCTTAATTCAGTTTTATGCAACTATCATGATATGTAGTTAATATAAATGCTTGTGTACGTAAAGCGAATGTACTTTGAAAACGTAAAGCGCACACGCCTTAACGGACGTTCAGTGTGTATGGTGGGAGTAGGATGTATCTAAGGATTTATAGATTTATTAATCCAGTAATCTAACCAACACGTGTTAAGTTTAGTGACCGCATGAAACTAGCTTCATATTCATTCATTTTTCTGTTGCGATAATCAAACTTAGAGAAATCACATCAATATCATTGACATCTGCAAAATGCCTTTAAATAAACGATATCTTCTAAAAGCAACAGTTAGCTTGTGAACTTTTCTTGATGACTTTTTAAGCGTGGGTGAATATACTTAATTATTTCACAATTTATACGAAATTTGTAAGCGTGTACTTGTGTTTAATTTGTTTTGATGTAAAATAATATGATAATATGTTTATTTTTGTCACATTGATTGATAAATATCGAGTCCACCTGTTTTTGGCATCTCAAAATCATTTCTTTTTCAGGAATCCACTTATCTTCAGCGTCGTCTTGAGCCTCGATCAGCGGTTTTCAACGTGTCTTCTCAATGATGTCATCGTCTACACTGCTCGAGTTGTCTGGACATCCCCATGACATCATCTACCAAAATAGACATGACATCAMYSTCATGGAATCAAGCTTTTCAGCTTATCAACAGTCGTTAGGTACTTTTGATTATGAATCTCTACGATAAATTTTCTATTGCAGAAAATGTAATGCTTGCTTTCTTGGGTCGGCAGTTTCACCTTGAAAAGTTTTCCCATTTAGCGCAAATGATATCATATATAAAGAAAATATCTTTTAATACAAAAAACAGACTTTAGATCCGCTTGTATTTTTGATTGTTGATTATTTATTCATTTAGACAGTGTGTTTTCACGTTAATTTGAATACGAAACAGAGCAGGTTGTCAGGTTGTTTAAACTGTCTTGTAKAGTTACCTCCGATTCACGATTTCAATGGAGGCTAAATTGAACATCATCGCTTTATTGCGTTAGTATGCTCAAGTTCAAAAGAATCAACACTCAAAGTTAGTATAAATRAGAGATTTTTACCGGTTTCTTTTCRTCTTTGGAGTGTGGAACAAGGCTGAAAAAAGCGCGCAAAAGCTACATTTTTATGTAATAATCGGCGTTTTCACTATTTCATATAAGAATATGCAGCAAAAGGATGTAATTATTCGCATAATTTTATATCTTTCGTTCAATAAGTTAAAATTACGAGAGGTATTACAAATATTAATTGTATGAAATCCCATTATTATGCCATCAACTTCAAGTTGAATGAAGAAAAGGCCCCCAGTGTACATCATGCAAATTTAATTTTAGTTTAGAATATGAATTTAATTTTCTTATGATTTCAGGTGACGGGATAGCTGAGAATGACAGCGCTTCGAATAATGACATCTTTTGTTTTGGAGGAAATGCTAAAGAAAAGGACGATCAAGTCATTGAAAAGTATGGTTGGGAAAACCCCGCTAAAAGGACCGCAACTGTTATCAATGTAGTGGCCTTATACGAAAGGTTTGTATTTATTGGGTGCGCTAGGTATTCTGGGAAGATGGCGGGAAAAAGTCAAGCATACAGTTTCGAGACTTTATCAAGCACACATTGCACTTATCTGCCATGACGTGAACCGGTTATTATTTTCGTAAGCGGAAACAGGGAAGCACACAAATGATTTATTATGAAAGTATGAAAGAAAAGAATATAGAAGTTATTTAATTAATACTAAATATTTAGATAATATTGAAATGATTTTTAAAAGTACTCAGGCCTGAAAGCGCAAACATTGCCTGTACCAACTGCGTCTCGTTAAAATAATTCGGTACAAGTCCTTGCGTAAAACCTTTACTAGTAAAGCATTTTGCCAGGACGAAGGATGACCCCCCAAAAAACCTTAAAAGCTGGTATAATATACATGTAAAACATGATGAGGTTTATTCATTGGTTTTGCGTGCAGTTTGGAAAATCCATGATTAAAATTAAGTCGTATCTTGTGACTAGACGATAAATTAAAATGAACGGTTTTGTGGGAGCCTGTTATCATTATCATCGCTTGCCCCGATCATGCAATCCCAACCGCATGCAATCGTAAAACTCGTAAATTTTTATTTCAATTTTTCACTTTCTACCTTTTTTCTTTCCCTCGCATTTCATATCTTTTCATGGGCATTCTTTACGAGCTATCTCATTGCCATGAGAACATTCTCAAAATAGATATTTTTCGGAACAAGGCCGGAAAGGCTAGCGGGGGATTGAATGACTCACAAATTAGCAAGCGTTACGTACAGCGGTCTCAATGTTAGGTATGATTGGAATGCAGTCACGTGATATGTAGTAACGACAGGCAGTCGACCGAAGCTTCCAAGGTCCTAACTTTACAAAGAATTTTCTTCAAAACAAACTAACTTTTCACTRAGAGAGCGCTTTAAAACTGTAATGCAAAGCTAGAAGGATGCTACCTGAAAGTGGAATTGCCGTCAGGGCGGCTTACAACGGGTAAATATATTAAGTTTTTGGACAGATAAARTTCAAAACAAGACTGCACGACTCGATCGTCGTCGGCAGAGCTTTTCTTGTTAGATTGGTTTTGAATTATTAACAGTTGTGGCTTCTTTCAACAGTGATATCATGTGCCTRAGCATGGATCCAAATATCAAGATGATGAATTTCGTTGAAGAAATGAAAGATATTTTTAAATTCAGCGAAGAACAATCGTTTACMATGAAATGGCTGGATGAAGAAGGTGGGTTTACTCTAGTTGCTAGCAGATTTTAATTAACCACAAAAAACGTAAGACAGCATCAACCACGGTTTCTWACCTAACTAAAGATTAAGATAATTCTACTATTTCTGTAGTGACAATTTTACCTGTGATTGCGCGACTTGAAACTTAAATTTTATTCAAATTTACTAATTGAAATTCAATTTAAGCTGAAATAATTTCTTTGTTTTCGCATTGAAATGAGYTGATTGTAGACTCTATAGCTGAAATTGTCTTTGTTTTAAAACGGATACAAATTAAATGAACAGAAATCGAAAGCCACAAAATAGACGCTTTTATTTTGGAAGCAATTTTCTTTCTATAATAATCTATGTACATAAGTACTGTATATTTCTGTGTAGCKATTTTCACTGTAATGATTAAAACTTTAATGATGCTAAAGTATATTGAACTGAAAGCATTTGTTTATCTTCTTTCTTAGTATTATATGCATTCTTCTGATTATTGTAATAATGCATCTTAAATCTGGGTGTTTTATCAGGTTACAAAGCATGCTGGGACATGCAAAATACAAGAAATGCAAAAGCTTATTTATAGTGCTTTTCATTTCCCTGGTGTCTTCCTGTCCCTAAGTGTCTTAAAACTTGAAAAAGCACAGCAAGCAAGTTTGTAATTATTCTCATATTGCTGGTTATATAAGGGTCTTTATGAAGGAGMCCTTGAGCTCATTAACTTTCATTTTTGACAACATTCTATCAAATGACTTGATTGATTACAATCTAAATTCTCTTCTTCTCCCTTTGTTTTTCTATGAGAAATAAGTAACCAATCAAATGTGATATGTCTTTTTATCTATTGGTGTTAAGACAGTCTTAATTGGCTCTCGTATGGCCTATCAAAAGTCTGGTCTATTGATCTCAATAATTCATTGTCTTTCACTACAGTAGTTTGTATATCCTGATATTTTATTGATATTATGTCCACCTCGCAGCAAATCATGTCTCAATGAGATTAGCAAGTCTAGAGAATTCTACTTTTAAATTATATACTAGATTACAAAAAACGTGATCAAGTCTAAACCAAGGAAGATTTGGTATATAATATCAAAAGGTTTAAAGAGGAATCACTTGATGTCTTTAAAGTTGAAGTTGCAAGGATTTAATAATTTGTACTTGAAGTATGCTTACCAAGGGTAGATATTCCTGATATTGTGCATATTGTTGGGGAATTTTCAATATTCCTATYGTGAAAGCAATGGCAGATCTTTTAAGGATTTTCTCTCAATGTTTACCATTTTCCTCAGGTATTTTGCAATATCTTGAAATGCGAATTCCTATCACTAGACTCTGATATCTGGAATTTATTGTCTCTTGTATGACTATTCTTGACTTAATTGATTGTGTAGTGAAAGTTTTTATTTGTAATATCATAAGCTAACAGATCTGTATGATGTATTTTTATTTACTTTTCAATTTCTGGTAATGTTTGTTGTGTAGATCTTTGAATTTTATCCAATTAGCACTTTAAAGTGTAAAATATCATTGAAYGGAGAGTGCAATATTTGGTGTGTTTTGAAGTTTATGTGTGCAGGACAAAAAATATATAGTGTGTATATTCATATGGAAAAATTCATCAAAAAAACTAAAAAAAAAACTAAAAAAGTATAAAAGACAATATAAAATATGAAATATAAAAGACAATACAAAAGCCAGAGCTGTATGTTATCTTCTATTTTATATGTGTACATATATAATATCA